TTTGGCCTCTCCTTCCTGCTCAACAGTGATTCGGCCGCAGAGAGCGCTGTTTGTTGTCGCTGTCTGACCTTCTTGGTAGCGCAGCGGTACCCTTTTGCCTTTTTTTGGTAGTCCAGCGGTACCCTTTTGCTTTTTTTTTTTTTTTTTTGGGGGGGGGGGGGGGGGGGGGGCGGAGCGGGTCGTGGTTCCCTTTTCAAGTAGCCAACCCCAAAAAGTGTACCCTGAATGTAATGAAAGGCGATGAGGGCCTGGGGTTAAGAGTTCAGGATTGAATGTTTGGAGTTCGGGTAGAGGCATTTCCTTCGGATGTTTTCCTTGCGTTCAGGTTCAAGAGGAACTCCTTATGGATATTGTTCAGAGGGCTCTTTCTGACTCAGAAGTAATGTCTTCGGACCCTCATAGGGTTCAGGACTTTCAGGTGAGACGGTGTAGTGCTTTGTAGGGTGTTCGTGCGCGGAGGCTGCGGAGGCTTCTGAATTTCAGGTTGTGTTCAGGTGCTTAGGGTTCTTGAGGTGACGTTTGCTGACTTAGCATCACTGCAACTGCCCTAAACCCTAAACCACAGCCAGGATTTGCATCGAAACCCTACAGCAAGCCCCTGATTCTGCACAGCTCTTGATGCAAAAACGCATAATTTGATTTAGGTTTTGGGGCTTCGTGTCTAGAAACAAAGCCGTTATCCCAATTAGAGCCCCAGACCCCAGTATCGGCGTTTCGGCTCTATGCACTCTTAGGCCCCAGAGCCCCAAGAATCCCCAGAACCCTAAACCCCTGAACCCTAAACCCTACCCTAAACCCTAAACCCTAAACCCTAAACCCTAAACCCTAAACCCTAAACCCTAAACTTAGGCAAACCCGAAACCCTAAACTCCCTGAACAAGCACACCGAACAGGCCTGGGCTCCTTTCTGGCCCGCCCCCTACCGACCGCGGCAATGTTGAACAGAGCTTGGGGGTCCCTAAACCCTGAACCCTAAACCCTAAACCCTAAACCCTAAACCCAGAGTAGGCCTTATTCCCTTCTTCGGGCGTAATTAGGGTTTTAGGGTTCAGGGTTTAGGGCTAGGCGGGCCCTTATTTCTGTTTGGGGGGTTTAATGAGGGTTTAGGGTTTAGGGCTAGAACCCAGAGTAGACCCTTATGGGGTGAAATTTGGGTTTCGGGTTTAGGGCTCGGACCCACAGTAGTGATTCCCATTTCTCGGGTTTCGGGTTTAGGGTTTAGTTTGGTCAGTTTGATTAGGGTTTACGGTTCAGGGTTTAGGGCTAGGACCCAGAGAAGGCCCTGATTCCCTTTTTTTTGGGCTTCGGTTCCGCCCCTTTAAACCAGCAAGGGCACCCCTTTTTGTTACTAGGCCCCTGCTCCCTTTTGTTTGAGGGTTTAGGTTCCCTTATAGGGGCACGCTCTTCATCCTGAGGTTACTCTCGGGTCACCCTAAGCCCAAAGCCCAAAAGCCCTAAACCCTTTTTATGTCTATGTTCCGCTTGGGCCTAGTGTATTCTCACCCTAGGGCTTGTAGGGGTTTAAGATTTGGGAGTCTGGAGTTCTGGGTTTAAGGGCTTAGGGCTTCGGGCTTAGGTGGAAAGCAAGTCTTGGTGGTTTCGGCGGTTCTGACCCGGGCGGGGGGGGGGGTGGGTGAGAGTGTGACGTAAAGTCCTTGCATATTGTGGGCCTATGAGGGAATACCCAGTAGAAAGACTTGTGGGGTTTAAGGGCTCTCAGGCGATGATTGGCGTGATTCTGCTTCTGGCGAACAGCCCCGCCGCCACCGTGGTGCGTGTCCCAGGGGCGCATGTCTTCGACATGTAGGTCAAAACCCCCTCAGAAACACGCCTAAGCCCTAAACCCAAAACCCTAAACCCTAAACCCTACAGCGCGAAAGCCTCCAAACCCCGAAACCCCGAAATCCTGCAGATAAACCGAGATTTTTCCCCGAGCCCCTCCCTGAGTCCAGATCTGACATCCTCAAGCCTGATGTTAAGGGCTTCAAAAAGCAAAACCCTAAACCCTAAACCCTACACCCTTGAATGTCCAATCTTAGCTTGGGACTTGTGCCCTACCCCGGGGGTTCTTTGCATGGGCTCTTTACCCTTTGCTTTGGGCACTCCATGCGGGTTTAGGGTTTAGGGTTTAGGGTTTAGGGTTTAGGGTTTAGGGTTTAGGGTTTAGGGCTTACATGGCCAGCTTGTGCAGAGGGTATCATCGGTGCAGGGCGTAGTGGTTCGTGGTTAGGATACCCGAACACCCTAGACCCTAACACCCTAACACCCTAACACCCTAACACCCTAAAACCCTAGCACCCTAACACCCTAACACCCTAACACCCTAACACCCTAACACCCTAACACCCTAACACCCTAACACCCTAACACCCTAACACCCTAACACCCGAATCCATGTTTAGGGTTGGGCTTTGGGATTTGGGGATTAGGCTTGGCGTGTTATACTTTGGGTTTGCCCGAGGGGGCGGGGGGGGGGGGGGGGGGGGGAGATCCTACACCCGACACCTGTAAGGTATTGAGCTTTCTTAACCCAGAAAACCGCTCAACTCCGCTTCAGATTGGCGCGCTGATCCTCTTCGTGGCCTTGTGCATGCTTTTTGTGGTGCCGGAGCTTAGCATCTAAACCCTAAACCCCTCTGAATCCTTATCTCCAAAACGGGAGTTGTCTTCGACTGAGGCTCTGGGGCTGAGGGTCTGGGATCTCGTTTGTAGGGTTTAGGGGTTTAGCCGTCCCAAAACGAACCACAAACCTTCTCCCGGAGGCTCTTCTTGTTGGGGTATAGGGCATGGGTTGGCTCTTAGTCTCGGGCCTTCCAGCCAGTGACCATATTCGGCGTTCAAACCCCAAACAACGAGACGTCCAACAGCTAAACCCTGAACCCTTATAATCCCTAAACCCGAAACCCTAAACCCTTATAACATCTTATAGCCCTAAAACCCCAAACGAGTAGGCCTCGAGAAAAGAGTGCGCGGTGAACACTGAAACCCTGTAGCGTGGAAGTTGTTTTGGGCAACTATATAAGGCTACATAGTTTTTTTTGGCTATGTTGAGCCTAAGGGTATACGGTATAAGAGCTTAGGCCATCCTGCTGAGAGATGTAGGAGTTCAAATTAGAACCGAATCTGTCACAAGGTCCTTACGCCTGAAGCCTGGGCTTTGGTTTCCAGACCCGTAGCACCTATAAACCCTATGTATGTATGTCTGAATGAATGAATGAATGAATGTATGTATGTATGTATGCTATGTTATGTTATGTTATGTCATGCCAGGCTATGTTATGTTATGTCATGTCATGACATGTCATGTTATGTTATGTTATGTGATGTTATGTTATGTTATGTTATGTATATATGTATATATTATATCTCTTATAAATACAAAATAAATACATAAATGTATATACATAAGGGTGTAGTCCTTGCATGAGCCATGTTTGGGGGTCTTGGTGAATGAAGCCCTTATGCCTTATGCACCTCAAGCGTGAAGTTCTCGCGGTTCTGGCCACCCAGATGGGCCATTAAGCCCTATAATCCCTTTAATCCCCATACTCAACCCTATAAAGGGCCTTTTTTTGAGGGGTTATAGGGTCTAATCGCCCCGTCCTGGCCACTAAGGCCAACAAAGAGACATGCAAGCAGCTCGCCGCACGAGCGAGCAGCGGACAAGGTCCCCCATGAGCTGGGCGTGCGACGGCGAACATAGCAACATCCTGTAGGGGCCTTGATAATTAGAAGAGGGCTTTGGGGTCTATTGTAGTAGAATTATGAAGGGACGATAAGGAATATTATTAGAAGTTTTCCCGACCCCAAGTAGTTACTTTGGTTGGGCATGGCAGCCGAGTGTTTAGGGTCTATACGGTTTTCAGCTTTGGGCATGTCACAACCCGGGCAAGGATTTGCTTGCAGTCGCTCAAAGCTCGACTGTAGGAACTTCCAGGGTGGCGGAAACATCTCAGCTCGTGCGCTCCGCACCCCAGTGCTTTTTCGAAGCCCATCAAGAGCCAAAAAAGGATTTGGGGCTTAGGCATGTGGCCTATAGAGCTTCGAGCATTAAACCCTCAACCCTGAAACCCAAAACCCCGGACTTAGGTTGAGAGTATGTAACCTTTCACCTTACTATAAGCCGCTTCAAAGCCCAAAGGTTACCTTAGGCATTAGGGTTTGGGGTTCAGGTTGGTCAGAACTCAGCCCCCTTTTCCCCTCAGTAAGCCCTAAGCCCCTATGGCCTGCCATGCACCATAAGCCCGAAACCCAAAACCCGACACCCCCAAGCTACGCCAAGCTTTGGCAGGTGCCGGATGAGCGCACACTTCCCAGCAGCGCACTCAGTGGGATGTTTTTTGTTTTTTTTTTTCTGAGGGGGGGGAGGGGGGGGAGGAGGGGGGGGGGGGTGGTTGGGGTTTTGGGTTTAGGGCTTTAGGCAGTTGAAGTCATCAAGTCCGCCAGTTCCAGAGAACATGACGGGTGAAGCCTCCGGGAGCACATGTTTGTGCACGTTGTGTACAGCGTGCGCTTCAAAGCCCTAAACCCTAAACCCTAAACCCTAAACCCTAGGGCCCTAGGGCTGCATTTGGCCCAAGCCTGAGCCCTTGGTGCCCTTGCTTTCCTGCTCTCTGCAGCCACCGTGACAATCCTGGATCTTGAGGTGTTGCGGGCCTCGTTGCAGAGGAAGCCCTTCCATGTTCAGGAAACTTCTCCAACAGCTGAACTTTTTATTATTTTTTTAGGTTTTCCATGTTCAGGAAACTTACTTCTCCGACAGCTGATCTTTTGATTTTTTTGGGCTTCCTTATTCAGTAGGAATAAGCAAGTTAAACCTCTAATTTCCCTTGGTTATGGCTTCCTTGTTTAGTAGGAATGATATAGTTTAACCTCTTCTTTCCCCCGTGGTTTATTGGAGAAGTAAGGAGAAGACCCTGTTGAAACTCATCCCACAGGCTGAAGCCATTCAACTTCAGCAGAAGAGCGTGCTTGAGACCGCCAAGGAATGTGCCGGGGTCATGCAAGTACACGTGCAGGAGTCTTTGTCATAGTTGGGTAACACTTTACATTTTTCAGGGTACTTAAGCCCAATACGGATTTTTTTTTTCAAAATAGTACTTTTAATTTTAATACTATCCCAACCATGAATCAGGAGTATTGCGTTGAAGCGACCGCATCCGACACCGTGAGCTTCCTTGTTGAACAGCTCAAGCTGAAGATCGGTACCACTGACCAACTCATCATCCAACAGAAACTTTGTAGTTGAATGAGTACACTTTGCACCTCTTGGGAGACTATAAAATCCCTCTATGGAACTAAAGATACTATAATCCCCTACAGAACTGAAAGTGTAGATTTTGTTGGTTGCTTATCTGAACTCAGCTACGAAGGAACGGCAAGCCTTTGCCTTTGGAGGCCACACTCGCATCCCTTGACATCTCCGAGGACACCAGGCTTCAATGTTGCGTTCCCTCTCCCGTCTTCGTCGCTAGGCAGGCCTTGGGGGACATTTTTACATTTCCCTTACTGGGTTTCAAGAGCCTCACCTAAACCCTAAACCCTAAACCCTAAGCCCTAAATCCTAATAGGGTTTTAAGGGCCAGCCTAGGTCAGGACTCTGACTGGAAAGACCTTGTTCCCCATCTCCATCCAAGCCAGCACCACCATCGATGAGTTCCTTGCGGAGGAAGTGAACCCTAAAAGGGTTTAGGGTTTAGGGTTTATGAATTCAGATACCTTATGAGGAAGTTTAGTGGTCAGGGTATATGACCCTAAACCCTAAACCCTAAACCCTAAACCCATGATGCCCCCAAGGTTGAAGATGAGAATTCAGCGCATGGAGGGCATTGCAGCGGACCAGCAACGCCTGATCTTTGCGGGAAAGCAACTGGAGGATGGCCGCACATGCGGCGAGTACGACATTCAAGGACGGGCCATTGTAACCCTAAACCCTAAACCCTAAACCCTAAACCCTAAACCCTAAACCCTAAACCCTAAACCCTAAACCCTATAACCCTAAACCCTATAACCCCTTTAAACAAAAAGGCCCGAAAATAGGGTTGATTAGGGGGGACTCTTTAGGGCCTTCAACAGCCCACCCGGGTTCAAGGAGAGTCGACGCTCCAGCTGGTTCTTCGCCTTCGCGGGGGCATGTACGATGAGATCTCAGGTGAAGAGCTTAGCTTTGAACAGCTTAGGGTTTAGGGTTTAGGGTTTAGGGTTTAGGGTTTAGGGTTTAGGGTTTAGGGCTTAGGGCTTAGGGCTTAGGGCTTAGGGTTTAGAATCTTTTGGAAAAAACGCTGCACGTAGCCCCAAAGCGTTATGTCTGTTCATAAGGCGATGATGTGGCAAAGCAGCACAGGACCCTTCAGAGTGACACTTATGAAAAGTGCTCCTGTGGAATGCGGCACAGACACATGTGACACTCAGGTCGTGAGGGCTTTTCAGTGCTCTCCGACCAGATCGTCCTCGAGAACGGAAGGCGCATCAAGCTTGAAGACGGTAGATGGAAGATCGAAGGAAGCGAGCTCTTCTACGCATCCAAGGAAGAGGTCCTGAGCCGCTTGGAGTCCGAACGCGTCGCGGGACTGCTGGAACGCTTGGAGGGCCTACAAAACAAGAGCGCAATGTACGAGAAGGAGGCTGCGTTTTGGATGTCGAAGGCAGCGATGGAGGTGGACAGTGAGATGGAGAGCTGAGATGTTGAAGACCCGCAGCTGGATGATGCCTTGCTGGAACGAATGCTCAGGAGCCAGGAGGAGCTAAGGTTTGCCCCGGAGACGATTGCGCGCATGCAGGCGTGCACGGCCGCCGGGGGCGAGTGGTTGGACGTGGTGCATGACATCCAGCGCGAAGTTGCCATAGGACATGGCTTCAAATCTGCACTTGGCATTTCTGCTGCTGTGAGGCGCATGCAGACCGCTCACACGACGGCACCGGAACTTGCCAAGCTTTCGGTCTACGCCCGCGCGAATCTCGCGGAGGCTGGCGCGCTACAACCTGGCCAGCCCTGGCCCAACGTGCCCTTAGTGGGCCTTGACGGGCAGAGGTGCACCTTGAAAGACTGGTGTGGAGATTTGACTGTTGTGTGTGCTGGATCATGGACCTGACCACCCTTCCGTGCTGCTATCCATGTGCTGAATGACCTCAGTTCAAGGCGAACAGGACAGACTCAGATTCGCTTCTTGTGCGTTTATATCCGCGAAGCCCATGCAAGTGATGTATGGCCCATTGATGGGCCACAGGTGTGGGAACCACAAACCACTGCACAGCGAGTGCAAACCGCTTTGGAATTCCAGCGCCAATGCAAGCTCTCATGGCCCATTGCCGTCGATTGCATTGAGGACTTGGTAGCCCAGCGGTACCCCAAAGCCCTAAACCGTAAACCCAAAACCCTAAACCCTAAACCCTAAATCCTAAACCCTAAACCCTAAACCCTAAACCCTAAAACCCCAACAAGGGGTGCCCCTTATCAGAATAATTATGCTTGCTGGGCTACCAAGCGAGGATGACTTCCTTCGCACGTTTTCTCCGTGGCCGTTCCGTTTCTACGTCTTCCGCGGGGAGAAGGTCGAGTCGCTCGGTAGGCCCTTTCCCCTTATTGGGTTTAAGGGGCTTCTATTTGGGAATATAAGCCCTAAACCCTAAACCCTAAACCCTAAACCCTAAACCCTAAACCCTAAACCCTAAACCCTAAACCCTAAACCCTAAACCCTAGCCCTAAACCCTAAACCCTAGGTTGAAGTCTGCGCCGGTGGATGGAACACACAGCGTTGACGAGGTCGAAGAAGCGCTTCGCAGGTTTGAGATCTCCGGGCGCACGCAGACAGGATTCGTGACTGGATAGCTAGGGTTTAGGGTTTAGGGTTTAGGGTTTAGGGTTTAGGGTTTAGGGTTTAGGGTTTAGGGTTTAGGGTTTAGGGTTTAGGGGCTCATGGCATAGCCATCACGAGAAGGAGTATACGGATGCCAAACTATCTGAGCACTCAGTTTCTGGTGCCATTTTGATATAAGTTCCTCAGCTTAGCGACCCTATCTATATATATATATATATATATAATGTTTATAATATTTATATTGCAAATCGGGTAGCCCAGGGATCATCAGAACACAGGGCGCAAATGACGTCAGGGGGGACCTGGTGTTCCACTGACAGAGAGACTCTTTGTGTTCTCATGGTACATGGGCGGTCCTCTAAAGGACTGTCCTCTCCTGGGGTTACCCTAAATACAAGGCTCCGTGTTTACAAATTTGAACCCCAAAAAAAGGAACCGCGAGTCGGGGTCACTTCGCAAGTTGTACAGTGACTTCTTGTAGCCCTAGGCGAAGACGCCTCTTCAACTATAGAGCGATGGGGAACAAAAGTGGTTAATTCCTTTGCAGGAGGCAGTAGACCTGGTACGAGAACCAACATAAGGGGCGACGAGTATCCGATGCCTGGTAGGAACCCTGAAACCCCGAAATCCCAGTAGCCTCTTCATTTCGATCTGGGTTTAGGTTTTAGGTTTCTCCGATGCCTTTGTTGCCTTCTTGCCCAGGTTCTTGAGTCACATCAATTCATGTCCTTAACTGTTACTGTATCCGAAGCCCTCCAAGCTCTGGCCTTTTCAGCCCTATCAGAAGCACCAAAAGCCCCAAAAGCCCCAGGCTCTGTAAACCCTGAACCGCGGCCCCAGGTCCACCCTCCCAGAGACTCGACGCGGTTGCAGTTCAGAACTGATCTGAGCAGGTTTAGGGTTTAGGTTTCAGGGTTGCGTAGGCCCGCAAATAAGCAAAGCCAGCTTTCCTTTCGGTTGTTAACCGAGGGTTCCGGGGTTTAAGGGGATTAGGGCGTTGGGGTTTATGGCTTCAGGAGGGTTTCGGGTTTAGGGCTGGTTTAGGGTTTAGGGTTTAGGGCTTAGGGCTTAGGGCTTAGGGTTTAGGGCTTAGGGCTTAGGGTTTAGGGTTTAGGGTTTAGGGTTTTCACAAGAGGGTTGGGGGCTCCATACTCGGAGCCCCAATCAACTTCGTAGTTCGCGCAGCAAATGTCTGCGAAGGTCAGGTGCCGGGTTTAGGATTTAGGGTTTAGGGTTTAGGGTTTAGGGTTTAGGGTTTAGGGTTTATAGGGTTTAGGGTTTAGGGTTTAGGGTTTAGCATCTTCGAAGTTCAGGATTTCTAGGGTTCTGGGTCTAGGGCGCTGAGAGCGATTGCTGTTTCTGTTGCCCTTGTTTCTGGAGTCCGTTGACGCAGTTTCGCCTGTTCAGGGTGTAGGGTGTAGCAGTAAGACCCACAACCCTAACCCCTACGTGGCGCTCCATTTACCTATAGTTTAATAGTAACTACCCCTTAATTAGCAGGTATAGCCCATAAAAAAGTGTAGGTAAGGAGAGTCCCAGATGACCCTAAACCCGACACCTTAAACCCTATAGGGTTCACTCTAAACCCTAGACCCTAAACCCCTAAACCCCTAAACCCTAAACCCCTAAACCCCTAAAACCCTAAAACCCTAAGTCCCTAAGCCCCTAAACCCCTAAACCCCTAAACCCTAAAACCCTAAAACCCTAAACCCCTAAACCCCTAAAACCCTAAACCCCTAAACCCCTAAACCCCTAAACCCCAAAACCCTAAACCCCTAAACCCCTAAGCCCTAAACCCTAAACACTAAAACCCTAAACCCTAAACCCCTAAACCCCTAAGCCCCTAAACCTCTAGACCTCTGAACCTTAAACCCTGGGGCCTTGGGGAGTTTAGGCGGCACCTGGCTAGCTAATGGCAGAGTTGCCGGGCACAGCTGGGCTCTAGTTCGTGTAAGGTTGGTAGGGTTTAGGGTTTGGGGTTTGGGGTTTAGGGTTTAGGGTTTAGGGTTTAGGGTCTAGGGTCTAGGGTTTAGAGTTTAGGGTTTAGGGTTTAGGGTGAGGCCTCTTTCGCCCACAGGACTTATAGGGCTCTCAAGGGATGGGGCTTCAAGCGGGGGATGTAGCTCAAGGTTCCCGAGAACTCCCTATCACTCCCTAAGGCTCCCTAAGCTTCCCTAAGCTTCCCTAGGGTGTGGGGTGTGGGGTGTGGGGTGTGGGGTCTAGGGTTTGGCCCTGGGGTTTAGAGTTGAGGCCTTCGCTTCGTAAGACAGTGGGCAGATCTCACCCGGAACCCTAACCCTTTTTTAGATGTTTTTGTGTCTAGGGTTCACTCACCCTAGAACCTTCAACCCTACATAAACCCTAACCCCCTGGGGAGCGTTTTTTTTGTTTTCTTGTGATTTGGGTTCATATTTGCCCTATCCACCCCCCTCCCCTAAAGCCTAAAGCCAAAAACGGTATCACCCTGAATTCCCAGAAAGGACTCAGCTTAGAGTTTAGGGTTTAAGTTTAGGGTGTACTGGGTCTGGGTGCTTAAACGCTGCTAGGGTTTTGGGGCTTCAGGCTTAGGGGGGGCCGAACCTTGCTTTTTAGGGTTCCTAAATCCTAAACCTTAAATCCTAAACCCTAAACCCTAAGCCCTAAACCATTGAGGGTTTCGGGTGTTCCAGCCCCAGCTTGTGGTAGTGCATGGCCGGTGCCGAAGAGCAGACCGAGCATGCAAGTCAACTGGACGGACCACATGTCTCCCAAAGCAACCCCTAGCCCTGAGCAGGGTTTAGGGTTTAGGGTTTGGGGTTTAGGGCTAGGATTTAGGGTTTACAGGGATAGGTCTGAACATAATTTTGTAGTGTGTTACTACCCTCAGCTCCATATGTAGTTCTTCTAAAGCCATACCACAATTTAGTTCTTATAGGGACCCCCATGAATGGGCAGGTCTGTTATTTGGGTTCTTTTTGGTGCTCGTTACTTTGAGGAGGCCGTGCTACCACATAAGTGTATACATATATATATGTATACATATATGTATACATTTTCCAATGTACATAGGGACGACCCTGTTTTTTGAGCACTACCCAACTCCTAAGCCCCGAAGCCCTAAGTCCTAAACCCCAAGAGATGGAATAGACTTCCTTGGCACCTTCACGCGCAAGACACGTCGGTCCTGTTAACGTTGTGGAGCCGCCGGAGGGCGACCAAACTTACCCAGATCTTCCAAGCAGCCCTTTCGGCCCATGTACCTAAATGGCCAATCTTTGGGCTCTATAGTCACTTTGTAATTATAGGAACTACTTGAAAGCTTATGTATACTCTATTTAGGCACATGGGCCTTCGGAAACAAGGAAACCTGAATTCGGGTACTTCGGAAGATCTGGAATACTACGACCCTGCTTGAGGATCAAATGTTCTGTCGTGGTTGTTCCCATGTCCCTTTTTCAGGGTCCTATAAGACCTAACGGCTCCAATTACAAACAGCACCTATAAACACCCTAAACCCCATTAAGCCCTAAACTCTAAGACCCTAAACCCCAAACCGCTATAATGGGCCTCTAGTTTGAAGCAGACCCAAGGACACGCCAAAAGCAGAACGGCTCCAGACCCCTTAGACCAGGAAATGCTGCCAGGATTTAAAAACCTTTTATAACTGAGCACACCCCCGCAGACCGAAACAGGGCTTGCAATGAGGGGCCAATTACAGTACCATAAACAGAAAAGGTACCATAAATGAGGTTATCTGTCCCCGATGAAAGTTAGTGTAGGGATTTCGGTGTGCAGGGTGTTCGGACCAATCGACACTTGCAAGTCCTTGTAAATAGGGGCGTATTGGAACCCGAGCAAGAACCGTCATAAGGTTTAAGGCTTAGGGTTTACACCTAAACCTAAACCCTAAACCCTAAACCCTAAACCCTAAACCCTAAAGGCCCAGGAAACTATGTCGGTACATGGACCGATGGAATCTCCATGGACCCTCCACATGTCCGAGGTTAGAACCCTAAACCCTAAGACCTAAACCCTAAAACCTAAGCCCTAAACCCTAAACCCTAAAGCTAAACCGAAACCTACAAACCCTAAGCCCATTAGAGCAAACCCGGAACCTCCCTTCCCCCAAGCATTTGTCGTAGTTGGGTAACCTTTTTCCTTTTTAGAGTACTTAAAACCCAATCAGGAATATACAGAAACACAATCTTAATACCCCTAAGGGTCCATGTACCTTATTATTATATACTTAGACCCAAAAGTCCGTATATAGGAAGTACTTTAAGGCCCAAGTATTCCATAATTAGGTACATGGACCCTTAGGGTACTATCCCAACCATGAACTAGCTTCGACCTCCGGCACTTGGGAGCAATTGGCAGACCTTCCCCGACTCTCGGCTCTTAAGCCCCTAGGGTCAGGGTTTAGGGTTTAGGGTTTAGGGTTTAGGGTTTAGGGTTTAGGGTTTAGGGTTTAGGGTTTAGGGTTTAGGGTTTAGGGTTTAGGGTTCAGGGTTCAGGGTTTAGGATTTAGGGTTTAGGGTTCAGAGTTTAGGTTTAGGGGTTATGCACCGCAAAACCCCTAAACCTCCAAACTCACCCTGTTTTGTTGTGTGTGTGGGATGCCACTGCTTGAATGGACCCCGTGGTTAGGACAAAAATATTTCTTAATACTTTATAGCCCAAAACTAACCCAGTAGTCGCCCTTGTAAGTAGGTTCCTCAACCCCCTTAGGATGCATGTAAGTACGGATGCACCCAATACACACGTTGTGGCTCAAGCTACAGTGCGGGGAGGGGGTAACTAGTGGAAGACAGCACGTCTGCTCTCGTGATCTGAACCTGATACAGAGAACGCCTCGTTAAACAACCTGTTGGGACTTCGCGTGGAGTTAGGTGTGTACAGACTCGAGGGTTCTCAGCGTACCACGGGCCCTTGAGACCCCATACCCCCAGAACGGGATTAGGGGCGACAGGTACTTGCGGCCTGCCCGGCCCTGCAGGAAGAGAACCCACCCGGCAAGAGCAGCACGGATACC